AAATGAATGGTTGAATTGATGGATGGATAGATGGATGGATGGATGGATGGATGGATGGATGGATGGATGGATGGATGGATGATAGGTAGATAGGGAGATAGGGAGATAGGTAGATATAGATATGATAGATGCATGGAGAGAGAGAGAGATGGATGGATGGATGGATGGATGGATGGATGGATGGATGGATGGATGGATAGATAGATGATAGAGAGAGAGAGAGACAGACAGACAGACAGACAGACAGACAGATGTTGCTTCTTTCTATGCAAAGAGTTGTGAGGGAAATGAGATTTCAACAGGACAGTTGGTCAAACTCAGAGTCTACACACACACACACACACAATCCTTCCTGGCCTCATCTTGTTCTTCAGACCGATTGGCCTCCTCTTAAGCGTCTTTTGATGCCCTCGTGATGCTCCTGGAAAAATTCGGGTGCTAGGTGTAATTGTTACCCTGACATTGGTTTCATTACGTTTCTCTTCCTTTTAGATCAGCCGGGAGACTCTGCAGAAAATCCCAGTCCTCAAGATCCTTCACGACCGACAGAAGCTGGAAGGCAAAGATGTCCTCCTCAAACATGAACGGCCTGACACTTTGACCGCCGAGAAGACACTGAGAGTAGCCGGTGAGAACTTTCCAGGAGGCTGTAGGTCGCAGGCGGAGACCAGCTTGGCCCAACCAAGGCGAGAAGGAGAGGCTTTACTGGATGAAAGAGGCCACCTCAGTGCTTCTGCTACTGTCTACGTGGGCAACATCTCCTCTGGAACCAGGGTGAGTGACCTAAAGGAGGCCCTCAGAATGCACCATGTGACTCCAGCAAGGCTCTCCTGGCGAGGCGCGCAACGTCAAGCGTTCCTCAGCTACGGCGATAGATCCAAGGCTGAAGAGGCCATGATGGCCTTGAAAGGCTTATCTCTCCAAGGCCGTTTGTTGAGGGTTGAATGGGCCAGGAACCAGGGGGGGCAAAAAGGCTCCTGGGCCCCGTTGACGGAGAAGGACCTGCTGAAAGAGAGTTCAGCTTGACGGTAGAATGGCAGCCATCTGGGATGCTGACCTTTTGCTGAGGTGGCCTACTGGAGATGAGGATGGGATAACATCTGGACGGTTCCGATTATTTATCTGACCGCGATTCTCTTGGCCTTTCGATGTTTTCCACACACCGTTTGGGGGAGGAGGTGTGGTGAAGAAGCTGTAGAGCAGATTAACGCAATTGCCTTGTTATCTTCTGGATAGAGTTAAACCAACGGCCTTCATAGGTGGTCACGTTTGCTGGAGAAGGACGTGAAGCAAAACGTCAAAATTGGCCTATGTCCTCACACGGACATCACAAAGCAGCTCTGATTCGTTGTGTCTTGTTATCCATGGTCCATTGAAGGTGAGAAGATACCAGACCTGGGATTTGGCATCAAGACTTGAAGAGGTTAACATGCTCTATTGGACTGCAGAAGGGAAGGTCCTCTTTGGCCTTTGGCTGGCCTCTACTTTCGGCCAAGGGTTTGTTCCTTTGCATAGCACAACTCTGGAGTAAAGCCTATCATTTGTTGGGGTGGCAATCTCCATCTCAGATCCTTGTTGTGTAACGTATAGAAAGGCAAGTGTTACTGAGTTGATCTTTAGCAAGCAAAGAGTTCTTGGTTTGCCAAAATATATATATATATATATATATATTGTAGCTCAGGGTTGAACTATGGAGTCCTTGATGCTCTCTGAGCTTGGTGTGAATATTTCATGACCAACTAGATGCCATCTTCAAAATATTAACTATATTCTATAGTTCTCCTCTTATTCTTCCTCCTCCTCCTCCTCCTCCTCTTCTCCTCCTCTTCTTCTCTTCCTTTTCTACCACTTCCTCCTCCACCCCTTCCTCTTCTCCTCCTCCTCTTCTCCTCCTCTTTCTCTCCTCCTCTCCTCCTCCTCTTCTTCTCCTCTTCTTCTCTTCCTCTTCCTCCTCTTCGTCTCTTCCTCTTCTTCTCTTCCTCCTCCTCTTCTTCTCTT